CAAATCGCAAAAGTAACGGAGGAATATGCGTGTTACTCGATAAAACTCAAAAACGAAACAGAAGCAGACAAAAAGGAGACTCCTTTCACTCTCAGAATTATTACCAAATTTAAACCGGAAATTAAAAACCTAACTAGCAATGAGTCGGCATAAATTGACATTCCGAACCTTGCCCAAAAAAAAAAAAATGGAATAGGACTTTTGCTTTTGTATATGAATAATACTTTGTTAAACACTTTGGGTTCATATATCTTTAAAATTCAAGGTTTGTATCCTGTGTTTGACGATAACTTTGTTTGGTATCCCCACTTTTTATATTTTAGTTGCATTTGTTTTTGAGTAATTTCCTCAAGGATTAATTAAAATTGATAGTCAAACTTTGCCTTAAAAATTGTAAGGAAAACGAGTGAGAAAATCATAAATTAAAAAGATAATTTTGTTTGCAGATAATTATTACAAATAACATGGATAATGTATAAGTTGTATACCATGCTAAAAATTAGCTGTCTCATAATATATAGTACTAGATTAGAACCCACGTTGATACGCGAATAAATATATTAAAATTAATTTAAATTTAAGTTAGTAATCCGTTAAATTATAAAAATATTTTAAAATATTTAAATATAGGTCGTAAACCATTAAAATTTAATTTATATCTTAATTCTCTTGTCATGTTTCATATTATGCATACTCAAGAACATATATACATAAATAGAATTCAAATTATTCTTAATAACCAAACAATATATTCTAACCCATTATGAAATTATATTAACTATATGATAAAATTTTATAACAATTAAAATATTATAGAGTTAAATCATAAAACAATAAATTTATATGAATAATCTCATAAAAACCTATTAAAATATTTTATAAATAGTTTTATCAAGCATTATATATAAATCTATACATGATAGATGTCATTGATATCTTCGGTTTATTTTTCATAGAGATATGTACTCGTTTTATATATACACTTTTGGATCTTAATAATAAGT